AATAAAAATATGCCAGCAAGAGCAGGCTGGAGGGGGAGAGTTGACCCCCAGAAGTGCCAAGTTCATGCTTTGAAGTCCCCCATCCACAGCAGCTTCATTTAGTTTTTCTCTAAAGTGGGGGGGGGGATTGGATCAAGGAACTCCCAGGTCATACTTAACTTGGTCCTTGCCAAGTTATCGTGTATTCTTATGGGGCAGTCAGAGAATTTGCAGTTCAGTTGTATAATTCTTGTGTAACTGTGCAATTCTCACAAAGTGTTAAAAAACAAAGGTAGTTATAGCATTGCTTGATGCTTTTGGACCCAAGTCAGTTTCCCATTAGAAACCATGTTTGCCTGCCCCAGTATAACAAAGTGGTCAAGGATGCAGGAAGCACCTCATGCAAATGAAATGTGAAGAATGTGAATCAGCATCACACTCAATAGAGGGGAGTCTGTCTGACTTACCATATACTATCTTGAGGTCCAAAGCCAGAAGTGTGTCTGTTCCAGTGTTCCCTCTAAGCTGAGTTAGTGTGAGCTGGCTCACAGTTTTTAGGCTCCGGCTCACACATGTTGGTCTTAGCTCAGGAAGGATGGCTCCAGAGCAAACTAATTTATGCAGTGGCCAAATAGCTCGCTCACAACTTTAATGCCAGTAGCTCACAAAGTAGAATTTTTGTTCAGAAGACTCCACGGCTTAGAGGGAACATTGGTCTGTTCTACAATAAAAGCAATTATATTTCTACATCAAACTGTCTAAATTATGTGCCAGGAAAAGCCAATTTTAGTGACCCGTATAAAGTAAGTGATTTGCATAATTTTTGCATGCCTTATTATGCATTTTATATATGACTTTGTATCATTTATTCTTGTTTGACTAGTCATGGGAAGTACAATGAGATCTCATTGCTGACCGTTTGAAAACATTTCAGCCACTGAGACTTTATCCATGTTTTTGAGCAAATCTTTGCTGTCACGAAGGTTAGGGGCTTGCTTTCTTAAAGTAAATGACAGCAGCAATTCTCAGGAGTCCAAATTCCATGCTCAGTGTCACACTCTGCACTTTGCCTGCACTCTCATGGAATTGAAACAAACTGAGCCCCGACCACAACTGAGTGGGTTTATTTTCAACCCTGTCATTGCTTTGCGGTCTAGGAAGGAAGCTGGGTTAATATTCTACTGCAAACAACAACAACAACAACTCTCATAAAATCAAACAGCCCCACTTCCCTCTATCCCAGTGTTAAGACAGGGAGGGAGAGTTATCAGGGCAATCTATAAATCCTCTTCCCAGGACCTTTCATCACACATTTGCTTTGGTTTTAATGGCTGGCCACTTTCCCTGGGAAAAATAGAATAAAACAGCTGACTGGTCTAACCAGTTAGTAATGGATTCCGCTTGTGACACAGCTGGGGCTTGGATGAGGAAAGAGGAAACTGCCCTTGCTAAAAAAGAATTTAACAGCAAAAAGTCTGTAAACGAAGGATAGTCTCTGAATACACACTTACACATTCTTGTTACTGCTAGGGTATGCAGGAGTTGTTGGCCAGGGAGTGGTAGGGCGGGAGAGAAGTCTACATAGCAAGTGTTGCTTTTCTTCTGGGCTAACCTATTCCTGCTTCATAGAGCACCTGGGATTAAATTACACTCTGATCTCTTCCTGCTTCCTTCTTGAAAAGTACGCAGAGGGGGGGGGGTGATTTCAGCATAGCGTACTTTATACGATCAGGAACAAGACGACTTTGGCTAGCTCGCAGGCCGGCTTATATTCCCCGAGAAACTGCCACCCAAAACACTTCCCAATAGGTTATTTACAGTGGCCGACAGTGTCCCTCTAAGCTGAGTTAGTGTGAGCTAGCTCAGTTTTTTAGCCTCCGGCTCACGCATTTTTGTCTTAGCTCAGGAAGGAGGGCTCCAGAACAAACTAATTTAGGCAGCAGCCAAGTTGCCCGCTCACAACTTTAATGCCAGTTGCTCACAAAGTAGAATTTTGGCTCATGGGACTCCACAGCTTAGAGGGAACATTGGTGGCCGAGAGTCCCATCGGCTCTCGGCCGGGAATCTAGCCCCCTGATTGGAGCGGGCTAGGATCCGCATAGTCCATTGTCTCTTGGAGCGAAGCTCGACGTTTGTGCCTGACCGCGTGGAGCCCAAGCCGGCCACGCGGTCTGGACTGGATACATTACACTTCTTTTGCTCCTGGACACACGTGACTGTCAGTTCAAGGAAGGCCTGTTTGCTAGCTGATAGGGTGTGGCTAACAGGAGCCAAATAATAATGTAGTTCCAGAAAATCTGGGTTCAAGTACCCACTTGCAACCAGGTTCCCTTCGGGTGGGAGTGTGGCTCAGAGCACATGCTTTGCATGCAGTAGGTTCCCAGTTCAATACCCTGGCATCTCCAGTTAAATGAATCTGGTAACAAATGATGTGAAAGACCTCTCTGCCCTAAGACCTGGGAGAGCTGCTGCCAGTCTGAGTAGACCACACTGACCTTGATAAACCAATGATCTGCTTCAGCATTAGGCAACTTCCTGTGTACCTCTGTTACGAATGGGACTTGAGTGCAGAATCTTTAGCCCCATGTGAATTTAATGGCTTGGTTTTCATCAGCTGCAGAATCTGGTCTCTCATTATCTTGGCCCCAATGGAAATACACCATCCTGTTAAGTCTCCTATCCCTTTTCTCCTTGGCCTGCATGAAGTTCATCAGTTATTGCTGTTTGGCTGAAATTTGTCCTGAAGCAACTGACGAGGCTGCTTGGACTGAGACAGAAACAATTAGAACAGTTCCTGTTTGTTTGGTTTCCTTGGTTATGGCTCTGCCTAACTCAGTAATCACATTTTCCTTATACCAGTCTGGCTGGTTGTGGCATCGAGAGTAATTGAACGGAGGAGCTGAGAGGTTTCTGATACCTGCCTGGAGGCGTCTGATAATATCTGCTTTTGGAAAAACCCACAGATCAGATCTGAAAGCTCCACAGTGCTGATTCTCTGGGTCCTCAAACTAAAATGTTCGTAACAGGCCATCATCATTTTTGCTCCTTGACAAAGTCTGGGACTCTTTCTGCCTCCTCTGTGTTTACATCATGGAAAAAATGAAAATATTTTTTCCATGTAGGTGGGAATCAGGTTATCTATGCAGATGTAAAAGGTATATTTTTATATGTTCTTGTGGAATGGTGATGTTGGAAGAGAAGGGAAATGTGAACAGGCATCTTGGCATGAAGGAATTTGGGAGCAAGAGGGCCTGGCATCTTTCCTATTCAAGCAGAAGGTATCCAAGGGTTGGTCTCCTGCCTTCCCTTTGAAATCAGATGGCTTGGCTTGGTGTTGATGTCCATCAGTTTCCTATCTATTATTGCTGACAATTAATTGTCCAGTGCTAAATCAGAGCAAAACCCTTTGCAACCACGCTCAGCTTTTGTGCAAGGCCAATTATCTTAAAAGGGAACTTGAGCGATGCTGCCAAGATCTTTGTTTTGGTCTGCTGGCTTCCTGGAACAGAATAAAACCAGACCGCATCTGAGCTGCAAGTTCCAGTCCAAGCAGAATCCTATAAAAGATCTCAACATCAGTTTTATAAATTCATGAGGATTTGTTAATCTGAGTTTATAACTAAATTCTTGCAGGCAGGTTTTGCCAGATAAGCTTAATACAGAATTTTCAAACACAATGGAATAACATTTAAAACCTTCTCTTCAGCTTTGAATAGGAACCATTCTAGCATTTCTGCTTTCAGTACACATATTGCCGCTTTTACCATAAATTTGGAGTGGGGTTTTTTGCCTTTACTTTCTTTATGAGTCAGGCAGAGGAAACAGAACATAGCACATAAGAACCCTAGTGGATCACACCAGGAGGTGAGAGGTTTCATAACTGGAGAGGAAAACTTTAAATCTCCCCCTTTTTAAATTAAAAAGGTTGGGTGTGGATGAGGACTAGTAGATTATAAAATATTAAAATGGGGTTAGGATAGGACACTGTCTGACCGCAAGTTTAGTGGACAGCATAAAAGCTTGATGTAGAAGAGGAGATCAGCAGACAAGTTCATTGTTATCGAAATGTCTGCACTTAGCTGGGCTATCTTGTTTAAGAGCTCGTCACTACTAAAAGCTACCATTTGGCAAATCAGCTGTCTCTTTTCAAGAGATGAGTGATCACCTTTCTTCACAAAACAGGATGACATGAATGAGCACATTCTAGAAAGGAATAGAAGTTACTCAAGAGTTTGGAAAGAAAAAAAGAATACAACTTTGTTTCATTGGTTCCCCAACCTGTTCTCTGGACCCGTAGCAAATGTATAGGTTATTGACTGAAGACAGATCATTATTTTCCTGGGAGCAGAAGGTGATTCTTCTCATGGAGGGTTCACCTCCATTAAACAGATCCTGCAGGGTTTTGAAACCAGCAAAATCTGTTGGACCAGTGCTGACATGTGTGTGCACCTGGGGAAATAAACCCTCTCTCAAAATGATTCCAACTTTGTTATAACAAATCATCTGTCTCAGTGATCAGATGTGCTCTGGGCAGCTTTTCCTTTACAAGTCAGAACAACCATTATGCAGGAGATCTGTTATGAGATTTCCCAGGGTTTCCCCCCGAAAATTTTTTTAAAGACAGGTGCAGGGTTCTTCAAAAATTTGATTGCAAAAAATATCACTGAAGGAAGGCTGCTTAACCTTCCTCTCGACACTTGTTTCCTCAACTGGCATTGCCTCTCAGCTGCTGTCAGTACCTGTAATTTTCTCTTGCCAAACTGAGGGTAGCTATAGGGGGACTGGGTTAGAATAGGGAAGTGTTGCATATGGAAGAGTTAAATACTCCATCACCCCAGCACTGCTGCTTAGAACAAAACTTGTTGGACCTGATTTAAAGCTTAAAGGGGGGGGGGAGAATGGGAGGTCTGATCTTGGATATCCAGTGTCACAAGTGGCTTGGCTCTGGATAAACGGAATAAGGAGGAAATCACCTCTGCTTTCTTCCATCTCACCTCCTCTTCTCTCTGGTCCTTTTGCAGCCGAGACGGACAATGGGCAGCGGGGGCTGGACCCAGAGCAGATGCAGCAGCAGCAGCTCAAGCTACGTGAAAGGCAGAGGTTCTTTGAGGAGGTTTTCCAGCACGATGTTGATTTCTTCTTCCCGGTATCTCATCTGCAGATTGAACACAGGAGACGTAAGTGCTGCTTGGGGTAGCAAAGACATTTACTTTACACTGCTTTTCAGTACAAATGATGCACAAAGCGGTAATAGCATATTAGATCGTGGGAAGAGGTCCTACAGCTTGCATAAGAAAAGTAAATGGCTTTGCATTATTTCCTTTGGGTTCGGAAATGGACACACTGACAGTGCAACCCTAAGCGAGTTTACACCCTTCTAAGGCTAGTCGAAAGCAAGAAATTGCAAGTAGATAAATAGGTACCACTTCGGTGGGAAGGTAACAGCGTTCCGTGCACCTTGGTGTTTAGTCATGCCGGCCACATGACCACGGAAACGTCTTCGGACAGCGCTGGCTCTTCGGCTTTGAAACGGAGATGAGCATCGCAACCCTAGAGTTGGACTCGACTGGCTTTCGAGCAAGGGAACCTTTACCTTTAAGGCTAGTGATGTCAATGGCTTTAGGAGGGTGAAACTTTATTTAGGGTTCCACTGTGAGAATGGAACTCAGCAGTGATCCCACTAGCTGTAAAAATGTTCACTGTGGTGTTATGGATTCCACTGGGTAATGAATATCTATCATGTGGCTCCCTTCTCTTTGAAAGCTCCCCTTGGCAGCATTTCCTCCATGGAGGTGAATGTGGACATGCTGGAGCAGATGGACATGATAGACCTTTCTGACCAAGACACTGTGGACGTGTTTCTCAGCTGCGGGACGGAGGACAACAACAATGTCACCTCTCTTGTGCCAGGTACATGCAAACTTCCATCACTATGCCCATCGCTCTGTGTATGCATGTGTGTGTAAAGTGCCGTGGGTATTTTTGTGACTGTAATATTTGGACCATTTAAAGTGTGCCCAGCTGAAAGCCCACCATGTTCTGCTAGGCAGTGAAGATCAAAACAGGGAGAACAAGAAGCGTTGTGAGGAGAAAGCAGATATTATCAGGCATCGTGGAGCTACAACCAGGAATCCCAGGGGCTGAGTTTAGGATTAACACAGGGTACAACTAGATGGGATGGTGTTCCCTGGTTAGACCTAGGGCTGCCACTGCCATTTTAGTGCTTAAAGGGGGATTTTAAAAGGCCACAAGGGCCCAATCAGTGCGGCAGGACCAGGCACTCTTGTCTACCCTCCCCCGTGCATTTTCAACTGCCAAAATGGCCACCACCACCCCCACAGCTGTTCTGGCACTTGATAGGTGCAAGGGAGGGCACAAGTGCTTGGTCACACCATGCTGTGGGCCCAATCACAACTTCTTATATCTTCTCTTAGACACTAAAATGGCATCATTGTCCCTGGGTCCAACCTAGGGATGCTGTGATGTCTAGTGTTGCCCATGGTTGATGTATTTGAGAGTGCATATGAATGGCCTGTAGCCAACGACACAGTTCCAAAGACTTGAAGGAACTTATGGTTTGGTTTTTAAAGAAAGGGTGGTGATCCCCCCTGATTTCCCCCCTCCTGCTGCATCCCATGTATAATTTTGTTTCTAGGAGCACTAAATAGAAAATTTACTGATTATTTGCTAGGATCCAACAACTCAGCCTTAGGAACTCTAATTGGTGTGTTGAATAGGCCAGATTCACAAATATGCTTGGTCTTGTTTTTTTGGAGTAATTTTCGGTATTCAGAAGCACTCTGTTGGGACAGTCCCCAAAGCACCAGTGAAAACACGGACACTTGAGAGTTTTTCCACTTACCCATTTGGAATCTAATGCTTGTATCTTTGCAGATCTGCAAAAAATGCATGTTTTGTATCATAACAAATGCTAAAGGCTCTCTTTTACTATAACTTATTTGTACCCAATTTGTCCCAAAGGTATCTCCATTATGGCGCACACTAGGTTTAGCAACGTATGTTCTAATTATAGACATTTTCCTCTGAAGTGAGACAGAGATGGGATTTTAGCAGGGTGTTTTGTTTAAGAAGCAAAATCATTCCACTTCTGAGGCAGCTTATCAGACACCGAAAGGAACAGATTGAAGCTTGTTTCAGTAGCATGCCAAAAAAATTAATTGATTTGTCTTTGGTGCATATATTCCCAGTCCTTTGCTTGAAAAATGCAAACAACTGCATCACATGCCACCATTTAATTAAAAAACTGTCACATGATCCATCCCGTGCTCTGGTATTTGCATAAATGGTTGTTTCCTTCCCTTCTTCATGCTGTTTTTTCTGCACACATACACACACCCAGGCCTAGCTTTATGAGTCCTGCACCATTCCTTCTCCCTATTACTAAACCTGCAACTTCCCTTTATAAACATTTTCCATTCTAAGGCAGTTGGAAATATATATATATATAATTTCCATTTCTGGCCCCTGGATGCTCCTTGGAGACTATCCAAATAGAAAGGATGAGGAAATAAGCACTGGATATGATGGATCTCCTACTCTGGCACATTATTCAAACTTGCAGTGTTGCAGATGTTTTTGCCTTAGGAGGGTTAAGCTAACATGTTGACCTTCTGGCGCCACTGATAGTATTTAGGGTGTCTGTGCACCTTTCTGAGTCTAAAAAATGGGAATCTTTATGTAAAGACTTCTAAGGTAGAAGAGATGAAATACTGTATGGGAAAGGAACACTTGGAACTGAGCAACTGATGCTGCCTGTATCTTAGAGTAGGAGAAAGACTGTCAGTGCCACCCTAACTAGAGTTACTCCCTTCTAAGTCCCAGTAGCCTTAGAAGGGGGTATGTCTGCTTAGTGCTGTGCCGTGGGAGAACTACAGAAGAGTCCTCTAAAGAAAAGCCCCCAAACTGAGGCCCATTGGCAGCAAACATTTCACTGCATTGTTCCAACACCTGAATATTCCCCAGCTGTAATAAGGTTGAAGAAAATTTTGGGTACTGGAAATGATGGTGGCAAGCTTCAGGGGGTTTGTCTTCCATATTCTCATACTCACCTGTTCTTTCTTCTCTGCACTGGAAGAAATGTCTGCCTGCTTTCCTTTGAGTCAAGTGGCACCTTTGAGACTATCAAAGTTTTATTCAAATTGTAAGCTTTCATGTGCAAAACACACTTCTTCAGACAAAACTGGAATAAAATCTCAAAACCGTAAGGAAGGGCCACTCAGAGCCCAGATGCAGATCTGAAACTGGAATGGATGGCAGCAAATTAACACGCAAATGCAAGTTAACAAAGAGATGTGAGAATGAAATTGGAGTCCAGCAGCACCCCCAAGAACAACCAAGCTCATTCCAGTTTCAGCTCTGCATATCCATCTTGGTTCTGAGTGGCCCCTCCTAATGGCTTACCCCCACCCTCTTTTTCCTGTAACTAGCTTTTGAGATTTTATTCCAGTTTTGTCTGAAAAGGTATGTTTTGCACATGAAAGCTTAACACTTTGAATTAAATTTTGTTGGTCTCAAAGGTGCCACTTGACTCAAACTTTGTTCTGTTGCTTCTGACCAACATGGCTACCCACCTGAATCTGTCTGCTTTCCTGCCACCCGACCTTCCTTGAAGCCTCTAAAGTGCATCAGAATTGTCTAAACCTATTCCAAGTGCTTTGCCCTGACCTGATTGGCCCTGGCTCCTCAGATCTCGGAAGCTACGTGGGGTCATTCCTGGTTAGTACTTGAATGGGAGGCTACCAAGAAAGTCCAGGGTTGCTATGCAGATGCAGGCAATGGCAAAGCTCCTCTGAATGTCTCTTGCCTTGAGAACCCTACAGGGCCACCATACATCGGCTGCAGCTCAACATCACTTTCTGCCATATTCCAAGTGCTTTAATAATTTGAGTACTGGTTGTTCAGAACAACAGGTAACAACTGAAACAAATGACAGCAGAGATGTACTTTTTCAAGTTCCATCCCATGTCCTATAAGTTTGAGAACTTGTGCTTTGGAGCATTAGTTGCCTATGAGTGGCACATGGATAACCAGCAGCCCATAACCTGTTTTCTCCATAATCATGGCGCAGAAGCATTGGGTCAGGTTGCTACACAAAGACAGTTTCAAACAGGCACTCTCCCAGGGAACCTAAGGCGGTACATTCCAGTCAATTTCTGTACTTTTAAACCAACTCTACTCAACTCTCCTTGGCTTTCGAGAATATCACAGGTTCCCATGGGCTCATTTCGCCTTGCCAGAGAGGGAGATGCTAGGGGCATCAGGGGAAAGTGCACTGGCAAGGACCATGCTTGGCGTACAGAATGTATCAAATTTCATCCCTGGCATCTCCCATTTAAGGATGTTTCAAAAGCCACTTTCTTTAAGCCTAGCCTATCTCACAGGGTTGGTATAAAGAGGAGAGAACCATATACCCTGTTCCAAGTCTACAGAGGGATGAGCTGGACGGCAGTGAGGTTGACAGGTTGATAACCACCTCAAGTAGGTCTGAAGAGGTGGCATACAGATCTAATAAGTATAAAGAGGTGGCGTACAGATCTAGTAACTATGAATCAGGCCCAGGTTTATATTCCAAGTAAGGAAAAAACTAGAGCTTCCAGTTCAGCTTCCATATGCTTGTCTCGCCTCTCCATTTTCTTTAAATGCAGCATTTCTGTTTATTATGGTAAGTGGGGAAAGCAAAGTATGCAGAGGCTGTTTGCTAGCGAGCTTATGCTTGCCGTTAGGCAATACTGCTTTCTTCATCAACCACCCTTAGAATAAATAGCAATGCCTCGGCTTTTGGAAATGCAGAAAAAGGGAGAGGAAAACAGTGACATGGACCTATTGCCGCCTCTAATGGCTTCTCTTGCCAGCAGAGAATCCCAGAACAACCTGGTCACTGTGCTGGGCATACAGCTAGCAGAGCTGAATGACATTAGCAGGCAAATGACAATGGCAGCTGAATGACAATAGCAGGTGTGATATTATTCCCAATTAATAGGACAGATGGACTCCCATTCTAGCTGTATCTGAAGAAGTGAGCAGTGACTCACAAAAGCTCATACCCTGCCACATCAATCAATCAATCAGTTTATTACGGTCAAAGACCCGTCAAACAGCATACAAAATCAAAAACAATCTCCAGGTTATCGAGAAGTGTTACAATTGCTGGCTAAGCGCCGTAACAATAAAATTCATTCATTCAAGAGAAGTGTTACAGAGAAGAGACATCATGAGGAGTATTAAGGAGGTGCTTACGCTTTATAATTGCAATAAAAAGAAATTTAGCAACCTTCCTTGATATTGCCATGGATTTGTCCTCCAGTAAGTATTTCAGCAAAAGTTCCTCAGACTGGATTACTGGTTGTCCTTGGAACCTAAATGACCTTATCAAGGGCATAATTAAAAGGGCTCTCTCTTCTGCATAATAGGAGCAATGAAATAATATATGGGGAAGGGTCTCTATTGACTCCGAGGGGCATGAGCATAGTCTCAAATGCCTGGGGATGCGTTGAAACCTTCCAAAAAGAACTGCAGATGGAAAGGTATCAAATCTGGCTCTGGAAAAGGCCCATCTGTGATTCGGGTTGGATATATTAGCTAAGTATAAAGGGGCAGACATAAAATTTTTGGAATTCAGAGATTTGAAAAGAGGCGGAAGTGCAGCATAAGATGTTTGTAGCTCAATATCTCTGAGGCGTTGGAAAACAATAGATTTTGCCCTGGCATAGCCGCGTTCCAAAAGTTGATAGGGGTCTAGTCCTAAAGATCTCAGTTTATCAATGGCTCTAGTGAACCACTGAGGATAGGGCGATGCAGCCAATAAAAAAGGAAGTAACCCGGTGGGGAGAAGATGGGTTTTCAACCAAAAGCAGAGAGAATGCATCCAAATATTCAGTTCGACTGTATTGAGACCAGCTTCTTGTCTCACCATGACATTGGGAGTACATCTTGGAGTATTAAATAGGGATCTCAGAAATTTTGTTTGAACCAGTTCAAGCGCCTGAAGATTTGTGAATCGCATAATTTGTGTCCCATAACGCATTTGGGCTAAAACTTTAGCAGAAAAAAGTTTCAAGGCAGCTGGAATATAATGAGCACCATCTTTTCTGAAGAATCTTAATATAGCAGAAGCGGATCTTTCTGCAGAAACAGCCACTGATTTAATGTGCTTGCCAACATGTATGCCTTCTGCTTGTTGAAGACGGGCTGAAAGTGTTCCTTGAGGCCTTCTTTCAGCCTCCTCACCAGCACGTGCACCTCTGGAACAAGGTCTGCACATTCTGTGCCCGGCTCCAACAACAAGGCCAGTCACTCACATGCCATGTGGAACATGGGGACGACGAGAGCCAGACTCGCCGTGTCAGATGAGAGCATGTCTGTGTGACTCTTGAAGGGTGCAAGAACCTCCACAGTCTGAGAAACGATCATCAACTCATCCAGGGTGAGTCGGTTCTCTTCCCGAATGACCCCAGTCTCCGAGATCAGGGCAGTCAGGGCTCCCTTCTGCTCCAGCAAGCACTCCGGCATGGCGCAGGTGGAGTTCCAGCAGGTGCTGATGTCACTGAATAGGCAGTGCTCCGGCATGCCCAACAGTATCTGTTTCTCACACAGCCGATAAGCATCCTTATTGCTGCATGAGAAGTGGCCCACAGTGTGTCGGCATTTCTGGAGGAAATGCTGGTAAGTGTGGAACCCAACATACGGTCAGATCTGTTGCCTTTCTTATATATGGGAATTATTATGGAAAGACCCCATTCAGTTGGAATTTGGCCTGATTGATCAATAAAAGTAAAAAGATTAGCCAAGATAGGGGCCCACCAATCAAGATTAGCCTTTAAAGCTTCAGCAGTGATAAAATCACTGCCTGGAGCTTTACCTTTTTTCAAGTTGTTAATTAGCTGTTCAATGTCCTGGACAGACACTGGATCCCAGGAGGGGATATTCTCAAGAGGGGTGGAAATAAACAAATCAGAATGATAGGCACTGAACAAAGTCGAATAGTGATTTTCCCAGAGTTTTGGTGGAATCTTACTGGCTGATACCTTGGAGAATTGACTATTGGAATTCGAAACCAGTTTCCAGAATTCTCTGCTATCTTTTGCCTTAGCAGCTTTGATCAAGGCCAACCATTTGGTTTGAGAGTCAGCTAACTTTTTGGCTCTCAAAATTGCCTTGTATTCTTTTTTCTTCTTTTGGATTTCAGCTGCTAGGATAGGATTTGGAGCACTTTGAAAAGCTTTGAAGATCTTAATTAGATTTGCCTTAGCCTGCCTGCAGTCCTTATCAAACCAGCTATTAGAGCAAGATCTCCTTACATATGTCACAGAGATTTCTCTTTTTGTTAAGTCTTTAAGGTGATACTGGAGTCTTGTTCTTTTCTACTGCTACAGACAGATTAACACGGCTACCCATCTTGTTCTGTGATGACAGGTGGGCCTTGCCAGAGAGGGAGATGCTACCACCTCTTCTACCATCATCCTGTGGTTTCTGCTGTACCTTACTGTGGTACATAAATTTGGGCTAAGCACTGAGGTAGTGGCACAAAAGAGGCTATAAACTCTCACATCTTGAAGTGAAAGACCATTAACCCACAAAGCTGAGGGAAGGATATCTTACCACATAGAATGAAAGTATGAGAATAATTTGAACAATGAAGGCTGCTTCCACAGAGATTTTGCTCTGGTTTGGCACCCAAACTGGAGCAGGTCTTTCTGGAGCATCCCTGCGGTGGCCTGATGCTTCCCAAATGTGGTTTGATACAATCTTTCAGGAAAGGTCAAAGTGTGTTTGCATGCCACATAGACAGGAAGGGGCACATTTTTGCAGGTCCCACCTGCCTTGGGGTCATTTTTCCTTACCTGAGACCCCCCCCCATGGCTGTCACTCCCTACCTGCCTCCCAGTAATCACTGGAAAGCTTTTTTCAGCCTCTAAGAATGGTTAATTGATGTAAACTAGAGATGCAGCTGATAAAGTCCCCCAAACCCTCCAGTGGTGGTGGGGGGAAAAGAGAATGATAGCTGTGGAGCACTGAGGTAAAGAAAGTACAGAGAAAACTGTTGGGTGGATGGTCTGGGCCAAATGCCAAATTATACAAGCTCTGCAAGGCCCGATTCACATGCTGGGGGAGGAGGGGCTCCAGCCTTTCCCCCAGCCCTGTTTTCCCTAGTGAAAACAGCCTTGGGGGGTGCTTTTTGCCCTGTTGTGGGGTACCCTGACTCATCTCGTGTCAAAACGTATCGTGAAATTTTGCTGTCTGTGGCCACTGTGAATGCTTTCTGTATTCACAATGGCAACAACAGCTTTGTGGTGAATCCTTATCTGTGGAAGTAATCCCCCATCCAAACTATTAATCTATAAATCAGTGCTCAGCTTTTGGCTTTTCCCCAAAAAGAAAACGTTGACAAACTATATGGAGGGATAGCCAATACCACTACTTTCAGGCCGATGGGAGTTTGTGAGGATTGTGGGATTTTTAAAAATTTGCCAAAAGCGTCAAGCCATTCATCTCCATCACGTCCCCCACCTCTCCCCTCCCATGTATTTACTCTCACGCTGGAAGGCTTTGTACAGGAGGAGGCACCAAGAAAGGCGAGGAGACCCGACTATTCTGCAGTGATTCATCCTGAGGGTGACTCAAACAGTTTACCAGCAAAGCCTCCTGCATTCCAGTTAAATGGGCTCTCTGATGAGGTCTCCGAGTTGTGTTATTCACAAGCCGAGTGCAAAAGCTCCTGTGGCTAAACATGGGGAAAGAATGCAAGGCACGTGGACCTCTAATGACAAGGACGGGGATTCATGAGGGATCAGCACGCAGGGCTCTTTGAGGGAAGGGTTATAAGGTCATTGTCTCAACCTGCCCCACTGTCAGTGGGTCACTGTGTCAGATTATTCAGCTGTAGGTTCCCCCTCCCCCAAAGTGATTCATTAGTAGACTGGATCATTATAGTAATGTACAGTCACTGAAGTCCTTGAACCATATGGCACCCCAGGGGATCAATCAGTATACCATGGTAACCCCTCTTGAGGGATCAGAATACATTAAATAAAATGCCATACATTATGTCATGCAATTCAGCCTGTTTCTAGAATGCAAGCTTGCAAATAAAGTGGGGTTTTTTTCTTGGCAAGGAATAGAGGAATAGAAGGAAGGAGAGGGAGGGAACTAGGATTCACACTGTCAGAGTACAGGTAGGCAGGGGGCAGAGTAGCCACGGGGGGGGGGGGGCACTGTCTGCATTTTCACCAAATACCTCCCACATATTTTTCTGGATATTCATATGCTTGCTTCCTTTCCCGTTCTTCTTAAGTTCATACTGCACCAGGTACCAGGTCCTGTACTTGCACAGCAGTCCAACAGGCATGCAGAATACATGCATACAGAATAATACTGCCCTTACTATTTTTCCCCCTGTGCCAGCAGTAGTACCAACACAGTCCTTCAGCACACGTACAATCGCTACTGTACACAGTACTGAGGCCACAGTCAATCTGCTGAGCAGTATTAATTTGCCAGGGCCTCGCTACTGAAAGTGTGCTGCTCCCCTGTCATATGACAAGGGAAGAGCCAGCATGGTGTCTGCAGCTGAATATTAGAAGCACAGAGACCTTCTCAAGGCAGCATCTGACATTTGGCTGTTCTTTTTGTGTGTTTTCATCTGGGCAGTGCAGCTGTCAAAAAATTGCCACAGACCTGCATCTTTGTAATGTACTTCCAGAGAGGTAACCATTGTTAGTGTGGCACAGCAAAATTAAACCAGAACTCCAGTGGCACTTTAAAGAGCAACCCAACTCATTCCACAGTAAGATTTTGTGAGTGGGAGCTCACTTTGTCGGATGCATGAAATGTCCACCCAAAGCAACTGGTTCAATTGTATCTTACCCTACCTTGTCTATCAGCACTTTGAAATGGGACTGGTTACTTTTTAAATTGGCTCTTGCCTTACACTGTCCTCTCCTTGTAATTTCTCTCCACTCTTTCTGTTGCTTGAATTATAAAGCACAGAATTAGCTGCTTTGGATGGACACTGCACAGAATGTTTACAATCAGGCAATTCAGAGGAGGGAGGGAGGGAAGTTTCTGTCATCATAACCAGCTTATGCCTATTATAACCACCTGGTAGAGGGTGGTGTGTTCGCATGTATGTTGGGGAAATAGCCAAGTTTACCTGTCCAAAAAGCTTCATGGAGCTACTAGACTGTGGAGTGGGGACAACCAAATGCCATTCCATCAGCTGCTTGTTCCATTTTCACATTTTTCATCCCTTGGTCAGATTCCAACCACTACCAAGAAGAAATCTCTCTGCAAGTGCCCAACGTGGCCGAGATCAAATCCCGGATCTCGTCCACCTCTTCTGCCTCCACGGACCTGAACAGCCTGGACACCAGTGATGAAGGGGCCGAGACTCCTGTGGTGCAGTCTGATGAAGAAGAGCTCCAGCAAGACAGCCTCAAAGAGGAGGAGACCAGAAGTTAGCATGGGGAGGGGGGTCTTCCTTCCTCCGCATCCACCCCTCCACATGGACCCTTCCGGCATGAGACGAAGAAGGGACTTTACTGACTGGTTTTTGGACTCCCACTGAGAAAAGCCCACAGAGGCACTCTAAGCCAGTTATGGTACTCAGAGAGCCCTTCCCCTTAGAAGATGGTCAGTGTGTGGTCAGCAAGGGAGCAGAAGGGGAACTGGGGTGAGGTGTAAGGGTGCTGTAGAACTTCAGAAACTAATTTCCCAGGCTTTTTCTGCTAACGTTCCTGCTTCAATTCACTCTGAGTTGTTTGTGGCACCGACCACAGTTATTTCAGGCAAGGCCTTGGTGCGCACAGCATTTGCTGTCTCCTTAATCTCGGTACATATACACACACAGACACACTAAATGTTTAACTATAAAATAGTAGAAATTATATTGCTTTCAAACAAATGACGGGGATGACGTGTGTTATTGGAAAAGGGCCAGTGAAGTATTTTGGGTAATAAGGTCGACAGACCGATAGCTAAACAAAGAGATTAAACCTTGCCGGTGACAGGGTTGGAATTTTCCATCAAATCTGTATTTCTACACAAGAGTTTGGAAGGGAAGAAGCAGAGCTGCAGCCCACGAGGGGAAAAAAAATTGGGCTTCCGGGAACGGATGTGGCAGTCTTGAAGAATCTACTTGTCACAGGTTTACAGAACCTGTCACCCACCAAGCTGATTTAGAGAGGGGCTGTGGCTCAGTGGTAGAGCATCTGCTTGGCATGCCAGGGGTCCTAGGTTCAACACCCTGGCATCTCCAGTTAAAAGGGAACAGGTGGTAGGTAATGTAAAATACTGCACAGGCAGTCTGAATAGACAATACTGACCTTGATGGATCAACGGTCTGCCTCAGTATAAAGCAGCGTCATGTGTTCATGTGAATGCAGTCCACTGGCTGTGCATGATCACCCACTGAGGGCTTGCAAACCTATCTTATTTGGGGAACCTATAAGAGAATCTGAGCCCTGACCTGGACAGCCCAGGCTAGCCTGATCTCATCAGATCTCAGAAGCTAAGCAGGGTCAGCCCTGACTAATATTTGGAAGGGAGACCTCCAAGGAATACCAGGGTCATGACGCACAGGCAGGCAATGGCAGACCTCTTCTGAACAGCTCTTGCCTTGAAAACCCTACAGGGTTGCCATAAGTCAGCTGTGACTTGACATTTTAAAAAAAAGATAATCCAAAACAAGGTAGGTTATCAAGCTCCAGGAAGAGGCTCTAATGCAAGGCTGATCTTCAGTTTACTGAGTCTCAAGAGTTACTTAGCCTTGATTTAGACCTATATTTTGTTCGCAAAAGAACCTTGAATGGCCACTTTTTATAGTGACAGAACAGGATCTCTGAATGTAATGACACAAACCCTGAGCTATCAGAAAGGTCCCTGGGTTCAAGTGAACTCACAAGGTGCCAGTTGGCAGGCCACCACCTCTTGGCTTCAGCCTACCTCTTCTGCAGGCCCACCTTACAGGTAAGTTGGACAGATTACTAAGGTAATGTATGTGCGGGTGCTTTGGACACAATGCTAAGTATTCTTATCCCTGGACATTGCTAAACAGCCCCTCCCAGCACTAATTAATGGGGAATGTTAAATCTACATATTTGGAGGAATTGCACAGCAGCAGTAAGACTACACACAGAAGGTTCCAGGCACTGCCAGCTGAAAAGATCTCAGGTACCAGGGCTAGAAAAAACCTCTACCTGCGACTTTGCAGATCCATTACCAGTCAAGAGTAGACAGCACTGCATTGGATGAAGCAGTGGTGTGAAAGGTTGTGTGTGTGTTTTTAACACACTGGTCTGGATCTCTAGACACAGATGAGGTCACACAGTTATTCACACATAGATATTACATAACAGGAGGGGCCATGGCTCAGAAGCAGACACATCTTGTTCTGCATATGGGAAGTCCCAGGTTCAATCCATGGCTGCTCTAGTTTAAGAGGACCTCAGGACAGCAGGTGTTAGGAAAGTATGTTCTCTGCCTGAGACCTTGGGGAGCTGCCACTAGTCAGAACAGGCGATGATGCAGCAAACGGAGGAACAGTCCAGCTCTGTGTAAGACGGTGTCATATGCTCCTCTCCTCTGAATGCCTAAGACAAAAAAATAGGAGCAAACCACGCATGGGAACTGTTCATGAAAGGCAGAAACACATGGTGAGAAAGTCCAACAATGGGTGTAGAAAGGGTCTAAAAGTTACTCTAACATGTTAGGGCCCAACTACATTATATTTTCCCCTGGGTTCTCCCCAGGTCTATGTGATCCACACATGCTTGCAAGTTTCCCACTAAGAACTCATTTCCCAGAGGTGTGGGGCCCAATTCAGATTGGGACTGTGGCAGTCAAGGAGAAGGGGATTCAGCATTACTCCACCATGTCATTTTACTGCCCCAAAGCAGCCCCACCCAGGGGTCGTTATTTGTCCCATTGGGTGATCCACTGATGGGGGTACAATTTTTCCATTGGGACAAATTGCATTCCCTTGGAGACATTTTGCGTTGGGGAAAGGGTGCAGGAAGGAAAGCTTAAGCCTCTTCTCCTGCTGTGCTGCAATCACAATCTGAATTGGGCCCTCGTGCGTGGGAACTGACTTCCATACCTTATGGCAGAGCCATACAGTTAGGCCCTTAGTTATTCACTAAGGCTTCCTGTTAACAGCCTCAGTGTATGACACTGATACCATCATTGTTGAAACGACAACAGGCACTCACTTTACAGCAGAATCCTATTGTGTTATTTAGTACTGAATATGTGAACTCCCCACATGAGCATGTGAAGTCCCCCCCCCCACTCTTCTTGGCCGTAGAGATGCCATCTTGCACCGTATGCTGTGCAATTACTTATAAAGCCCCTAGGAGACCAAACACTTCTGATTCCTCCTCCATGTTCCTTCCTGGTCCTATTGTTCTCCTTGCTTCTCCTCCTGTTTTGCCCCAAAGCTGAAGTTCGACTTCCCACAGCACACTGGAAGGGCAGTGGGAGGGAACAGGGGGGAGGAATCGCAGCTTCTTCATCTCTGATTTTGAAAATCATTGTGTACGATCCTGATTCTAGCATCTCCTTGGCATGTGTTGCAACACTGACCAATGTGGAACCTTAAAGGATTAGAAATCGGCTGATGTGATTGTCAAAGTAGTCGGTATTGACCTTGATAAACCAATGGTCTGATTCAATGTAAGGGAACTTCATCTACCATTTCAAAAAAACCACCCATTATTTTCCTTGTGGCAGTTCCAAGCTTGTCAAAATCTACCTTCTGACCCATTCTGGTTCTCACATAAATTCATTCTATTACATGGATACAAGTTTCACACATCACACATGTCCTAAAAAAACCCCAAATGGTAGATGCTGCATGTGATTATCATAGACATGCACCTATTGTGTTGTGCTGGCCTGCAAGTAGAGAGGTGCACTATAGTACAACTTCACAGCATATATGCACACTACAAAAATAAAATGTGTATGCAGCTGTCAACATAGTAACAATGCAGCTTACATGCTTCCTTTTAGCACAAATAATCAGTAACATTTGAAGCAAGTCCTCTGATTGTTTGAAGACCTCAAGTCCGGTTTTGCCAGGCAGGTAGCAACTATAACGCAAAGAGAAAAACAAAAACCACCCATACTGTGAAAGTGGAATATTCTTTAAGACGAAAGTGTGTATAAATAACCCAGGGTCAGCCCAGTTCGTGGGGAGCTCCCCACATTTGCTTGGCATAGGCACTGACTCAACACATCAGCCAACCCCCTTGGGTCCAGGCTGCAAGGCCTAGCATTAGAGCTTCCATCCAGGTGCAAATGACTCATGATTTCCCCAAATGCAGCTCTCTTAATTGCTTTTCAAAGAGCTGAACAGAGAGGGAAAGTCTGGAAAGAGGAAGTGACTCAGGGGACTATATCAGGTGGGTGGGGAAGGAGTCCAGTGAGAGTTCTGGCAGCTGCAGACACCCCACCCGAAAGCAAGTGAGGAAACTAGTGGTAAAATATGGGCGGTAAAGGGTCCGCTCATAAACTTAAGTGACTTCCACAGGAGCCAGTTCTTCGCAGCTTTGTCGAAAACGTGTGCCAGGAACCTCGTGTGAGCATTTGAGGTGGGGGTTTTGAGAGCGAGACTTGAAGGCAGTGCAACAGACCCATACCTACCTATGGTACATACGTTTATTCCCCGCATCTCTTCAAGAGGTTCCATAAGTTATTAACATAAGCACTGTGGTCATTTCTAGAGGCTGCACAGAATTTTAATTAGTTGCTATTTGAGAAATGGCAACAATGGCTTAGTCATAAGTTTAAGGTTGCAACCTTCTTTATTTTGGGGGGCCGCCAAGTTGCAGCAGACCTGATGACTCCATAGGGTTTTCAAGGCAAGGGGCATTCAGAAGTGGTTTGCCATTGCCTGCCTCTGTGTAGGAACCTGGATTTCCTTGGTGGTTTCCCATCCAAGTATTAACCAGGGCTGACCTTGCTTAGCTTCCAAGATCTGACAAGATCAGGCTAGCCTGGGCTATCAAGGTCAGAGCTCAATCTTGACGCTCTATGCATTATATGAGAGCACCTGGTCTGATCCTAACTAGGGTTAGACCACCAGATCTACATGAATTTGAGAGGCAACACATGGAAACATGCTTTTTCCAAAAAATCAAATTTAGCAACCCTGACTGTAAGAAATGATCATCATCTGGCTATTGTTCTTGGTTTCCTCTTTAATGACTCATCCTCCAGAAGCCTATTTACTGCGTAAAAGATTTTCAGTCCAAAGTCACACAAAGGCATGGTTTTTCAGCTCATTTAATCCACACTTAGGAAAGCAGTGGGAATTTTTTTTAATTTATTTATTTGCCATCTCTCTCCCCAATGGAGACCCAAAGCAGCTTACATCATTCTCCTCTCCTCCGTTTTCCCCTGAGATAGGTTAGGTTGAGAGTGCGTGACTGGCCCAAGGTCACCCAGCAAACTTCCCTGGCTGAGTGGGCATTCGAACCTGGGTTTCCCAGGTCCTGGTCTGACACTTTAACCACTACGTCACATCGGCTCTAGTTATTGTTTTAGTTATCTATTTATATAATGCTTTTGTCCCCATCGGGACCCAAAGTGGCTAAAAGTACAAAATGAGTCGTTGTGCTTGCTTGTTGCGGCAAGAAGAAACAGGAATCACATGGCACCTTAAAGACTAAAACATTTTCACTGCAGCATATGTTTCCATGGACTAGAGCCCATATCATCAGATGGGTCTGATGAATACTCTAGTCTACGAAACCTAGTGCTGGAACAAAAGCTTATTAGTCTTTAAGATGCCACAAGAGTCCTGTTGATAATTCAGAAGTCCAGGGGCACCTTAAAGACTTAACAAGATGTATCCCAGCACAAGCTTTCATCAGTCTGAATTCACTTTCTTGGAG